TTGTAGCATGTATGGATGAATAAAATGGCTAAGTTTAGAGGATTTTGGAAGTAGTCTCCTGCGGAATTTAGATACTTTTGCTGGCGAATATATAAACTTTGAATGCTATTGAAACAATTGCGATGCCAAGCTCAAGATTTCGCTGGATATATTTCCGTCCACCAGGCTGCGTTTGTGGCGTGTATTGTCAGATTCACATGCAATATTTAACAATTATTCGCCGAAGGCGGGGTGATTATCGGTGAATAAAAACCGAGACGAAGTCGAGGTTTTTATTCACGATAATCACCGAGCCTGAGGTGAATAATTGTTTTAGTATAATTTCACAGGTAATTATATGGAAAAAATAAAAAAATACACATTTCTTCGCCATTTAATTGACAAAAAGGCTTCGGCCGCCATTTTGAAAATCGCTTAGGTGATTATCGCGTAATAATCACCTCAACGGCAACCAATCAGCGTGGAGAATTTTCAATAATCACCTATGTAATTATACTAAAAGGAGTTATTATGCTGGGGAATGTGATATCAATAATGATCTCGGGAAGTGAGTGTATTTTATTCTAGAAATAGTCGTTAGAATTAATAGATTCCTGAATCAGCATAGCATGTGAAACGATGCCAAGTAAGCGTGATTTGCTGCTCATTGATGCGATATTTTAGAAAGTTCTTATATGCCCATACTAATCCTAGCATTATCGGACGCCATTTTGTTGCGTAATTTTTTGTCATGTCCACCATCTTGACCCACATTTCTGGTAATGGTTTGGCAATCCAAACGAATGTGCATGTCTATTATAGTCGGACGAGAATTATCATTAATATTCAATTGAAATCCCACTTCGGCATCTCATGCAACTTTATATTGTTTGGTACTTGGATACATAGTCAATTATACTCAGTAACGTAATTCCTTGTTTGCTGGTTGGGGAAGTTTCTGTGTTAAAATTAAATATAATACATATACACTCAAGGCAGGTCAAATGTACAATAGTCTTTCATCCGCTATGTATAAATAAAGTCAATGACGACCATATTGCATTGATGTCATGCGGACCAACAATAATCTACACTGGTGTTGTTGACATATTTGAAGAGATTCTTATAGTTTTTTGATTAGTAAAGTGGAAAAGGATAATTAAATATTGTTTTATTGACAAATTATCAACAGTGGCCTCTCCGCTCGATTAAATTTGCGCCACCTTATGATTCATGATCTGCAGTTGCTTCTATCAAGTACATAATTATATATAGAAACAGATACCTTAATTTGTTAGCAATGCTGCGAGTGCCTGCACAATTTAATTTACAAAGTATTTTCTACTATAATTTAATTTTCAAGTTTATATAATATATAATTTAAAGGACTTCTTAATTCCACCCAACGAAATAGAAACTTTTTCCCATTCTTTGAAGATACAAAGGAATGATAACGTTTGCTAGAATATTATACAGTATATATATGTATAAAGACATTGTGATCAAAACAAGGTTTTGGGGCGGACGGCACTTTGTAATCTCGTGCAACAATGCAGCTCACCATTCTTAGTGTTAATTTTATAAATAATCTTTGTCAAATATATCATCTTCTTTCGCCTCATTTTAATATCAAAATATTTTTACTTACTGTATATCAGTAATGACTATGCATGCAAGACAAATAAATTATTGCTCTTTATATAGTTCCAGAATATAGTTACAATGTTCTGACAATTTTTGAAAGTCATTTAAAGTTGACTCTCATTATTAGTGTGCATGACTTGCTTTGTATTCTTGTAGTTCTTATGTATGTATGTATGTATCTATACAGAAACTGGTATTTCTATATGTCGGTTAACTATACATTTATTGATGTGTGTTAATATAGCTTAACTTTTTTTACCAGTGATAATTTGTGTATATGCCTGTGCATACATATTCCTAGCCGAGCTGCGCGTCAGTGCATGGTTAAAACTTAAAACCATGCCTACAACAACCTCAAACGTCCTGTTCAGTCTGATACAAAAAATGCAACCTATAGCCTATAGCCTATATAGGCAAGTAAAGTGACCCATCATGTCATGATTATGGTACACCTTATCCAGTGACTCGACTGGCGATTTGAAGAACAAATCTACCTATTTGGACAAATTGTTATGGCTGAAATACAGGTGCTGTACTGTACTGTATATATAGTGGTATCGCACACCCAAGCTCGCAAATTGAGATACTTCGTTGATCTACTGTACGCTGGCGCACAACATTCAAGAAATTACCTCAAAACATGCAATGATTACAAGGTATAGAAAAAATGAATCAATTCACAAAAGAACGCATGAAAATCATCTGAAGTTATCCAGTTCGTTAACGAATAACAGTTTGCTTGCAAATGAGCTATCAACAGTTATGATCAAAGTATACTGAGTATATGTATGGTGGAATTGACAGTTAGGTCATGCATGTGTTCCTGAAAAAATTAGCAAAGCTATGCAGCCAGAATTTATCAACGGTTTAATTAAGAAGACAATTTGTTGGACGTGACTTTAATGTACCAGTATAAGATGTACAGATCAAGTCACTTCCTCAAAGACTCCAAAGAACATTGTTTAGATTTCTTAGTATGATTATATATACTAAATGTGTAAAGAATTCATCTGTCATCATTTTCTTCACGAATTCTAAGTGAGCCTGGAGCGGAAAATGTCAAACTGCTTTCTAACAAAAATTGTCCGTTATAAAATTAATATGTGCGCAACAGCAATTTAGCATGGCTCAAAGGATGACGTTGTTTATAATTAAGTAGCAAATTGCCCCCAGTTATTATTTCTTTTTCTCTTACAAAGAAACAAAGAACACTGGCCATTAAATTAATGTTTTAAAACACATTATCCAAACGTATTGCATGTTCATAAGCGATATATGATCTGACCTAAAATGAATCAATAAACGAGCTTGAAGTATGAATAACGAAATATCTTCATGTCACGAATTCTTACCAGATGTAATGTATTTTCATCTCTAATTATCAAATTCTTGCTATTTTTAATGATATTTCTCGTCTCCTAGAATACTGATTTCAATTACCATAACTTAATATTAGATACTCTTCTTTCCGCAATCAGAACATGACCTTGGAAGCCTTGCGTTATTTTCTTATCATGTGGAGTTATTAACATAACTCATTTGTACACGTGATAAGCGCACGTGAAAAACACTGACTAGAATATAAAATACGTTTTAATTGAAAATTACTTACTATTGATGTGTGATACTGATGACAATTTGCATAAAAGGGAGCGGTCACGATTAAGTTTTATTTACAATATTTGGAACTTATGCAATTTCCTCCTGTTGAATTATATAACATGGTAATTTAAACAAATAGCTCTTTTTCGATCAAGTTCTTTCCAGCCTTCAAATGAATCTTTTTACTGAAGTCTATGGGTTCATATTATGCGTAATTGAGGGAGATAAAAGCACTTTTTGATGGAAATCCATTTTCAGGATGTACGCAAGTTTAAAAAGAATTATAAACGCAGAAACAGGTTATTCTTGCTGTGACATTATTGAACTCGTTCATCCGACTTATGGAAAAGGACTCGGTTTAGCAATGCACAAAAGTCTGAATCTGTCCTTCGTCCATTTAAAAGCTTGGAAAGGTGGAAACTTAATTATTTACATTGTCTGTGCGGTATACAAAGCCATGGATAGATAGATTTAGATAGATAGACTTTTTATTTATTACCACTTTGTAAATTCAAAAGAATTTAAAAAAAAGCCATATAATATACAGGGTTGATATTAAATAGTACAGTATGTTAAACCTATAGAACTACTATAATATAAAATACAATAATGATATAAAGTACAAAACAATGCCTATATATGGTCGGTCGCAATTTCTAACACACTTTGGAATAAAACTGTTCTTATATCGTTCAGTTTTGCACTTGTACATGTAGGATAAGTGCATATATTTCTTTGAGAGGAGACGTATTTGTGAGATATAGCAATAGGAAGAAGCTTTTTGAACTTTTTTAAAAAAATATTTTGTACATAGCCAAAGGGCAGGCCCATGAATGGTAATTTCAGACGTTAGGTTATTATTATTGCAGGCGTTAAGTTATCCCATAATTGTGGTGAGATTTATTGAAGATAGCCAAGCAAGACAGTATCAGTCAATTTCAGAAATTTGGTGCATGCAGAATACAAGACAATTCAGTCAATTTCAATTTCAACTTCAACAAGGACTGCCATAACGTGGTAACGGCTTGTTGGTCACTATCTACCATTTAGATTAAATCAGATACTGTACACTTTCCACATGCACGCACATCATTTATTTGTATTTAATGAAATTCGTCAAGTCTCAATATAGAAATATATTACATCGTAGAAGCAGGAAACAATGCCCCAATTGAGATCTATCTCCTACAGTAAGTTAAAATACCATTATTATTTACAAGCTATATGTTGAAGCCATGACTTTAGAACACCGTATTTGTAATGAAATCACTCTTTATTTTCACGTTTATTACAAATGTAGTTTTGTACAGTAAGTTACTTTCACGAGGAAGTTCAACTAACAACACAACAATCCCATCATGCATTTGTCTCTCAGTATTACGTCATACTAATATTTGGATAACATACAGTTTTATATTGAACTCAACACCTTCACTTGTTATCAGAATATAAACTAATTACCACAACCGAACACGATACTTTTAAAATTATCTAGTTTACATTTTGTGGGTGGCTTTGTTAGGATATCAGCTACCATATCTTGGGTAGGACAATATACAATATCGATCATGCCTTTAACATACATTTCACGTACAAAGTGGTACTTTATGTCAATATGCTTAGAACGTTGTCTGTTAACTGGGTTCTTACTTAGTGCAATTGCCCCTTGGTTATCAACACTTACCTTCATACTCTGATGTACTTTCTTATACATACCGTTTAACAATTGAGTTAGATACAAACACTCTTGAGCTGTATTTGCTAAAGCTACATATTCAGCTTCGCAAGTGGAAATGGCAACCGTTGGTTGCTTTCTCGACCTTTAGATACCTTAGGACATGTTTGGCAGCAATTAAATCTCCCGTTCTGGGGTTTGACAGAGTTTGAGACAGTCTGCTTACAATCCAACTTAAATCAGGGCTTGTACAGGTCATGGCATAAATTAGGCTTCCTATCATTTCTCTATACTGTCTGGCGTTGGTCAATTCACCACAGTTAAATTCTAATCGTTGCTCACATGGGGTTAACCTGGGCTTGCAGTCTATCATTCCAAATCTCTCTAGTATTTTAAGAATGAATCTTTTCTGATTAATTTTTATTTCACCCTTGCTTTGCTTAAAATCCATTCCAAGGAAGAAAGTGATTCTACCTAGATCTTTCATCTTAAATTGTGTCTTCATACTTTCTTTAAATTCTTCCATTAACTGCATACTATCTGAAGCTATGATTAGGTCATCAACCCAAACAATGACGATAACAATTTTATCATCAACTTGTTTCTTATATACACAGTGATCAGCATGGTTTCTGACAAAACCGTCATTTGCTAAATGCTCGTGTAACAATATGTTCCAATTTCTACCTGATTGTTTTAGACCATATAGCGATTTCTTTAGCCTATATACTAACCTCTCACCACTCTCTGAAACCTCTTCAAACCCTTGTGGCTGGTCTATGTATAACTCTTGAGTAATGGGGTATGCAGATATGCAGTTTTAACGTCCATCTGGTGGACAATAAGATCATGTTTTACTGCTAACTGCATTAAGACCCTAATTGAAGTAATACTGGCTGTCGGGGCGAAAGTTTCTTGATAATCTATACCCTTTACCTGGCTGTAACCCTTCGCTACATATCTGGCCTTAAAGAACTCTATGCCATTCTGATCTTGTTTGGTTGTGTACACCCATTTTCCCCCTACTGAAGCTTTACCTTCTGGTAAAGTTGATAATTCGTAAGTATCATTTTCCTTCAGAGAGCTGATCTCTTCCTTCACTGCTTGCTCCCACTCCCTGGCTTGAGGTGATCCCATGGCTTCTGTGTAATTTTGTGGTAATCCACAAACTTTGTAGCAGTAATCTAAACTAATGTGGGCACAATCGGCATTCTTGGGGAGGATGGTGTCCTCTTCTAAGTATCTGGGAGGGTTCCTTTCTCTTTGAGGATACCGTTTTGTCTCACTGTCATTCTCAGTATGGTTGCAATGCCTTCCCTCACTATCCCTAGGCTCCTCATCAGGCACTGTATTTGGCGGCATTGCACTTAAAACAGGGAGGCTCATACTATCTAAGTCCGATCTAGTATCATGGTCAGATTTCTCATGTACATCACAATCCCTGCCTGGACTCATCAGTTTGTGTGTGCTGTTCTACACTACATTTCTTGATGAATCTAATGAGTCGATGTTTCATGATTTTCCCATTTTTTGGGTAGTACACCAGGTAAGAAGGGCTATTTTTGTCGTATCCCACAAATACCCCCTTGCTGCATCTTGAGTCTAATTTCTTATGCTCCTGTTCGTGAGCAAAACATTCAGATCCAAAGATCCACATTTTAGAAAGATCAGGTACTTTCCCAGTAAGGCTAAAGTAGGGTGTTGTCTTTGTTCTCTTGTTAAAACATCTATTCCTAATGTGAGCTGCGGTTTGAATTGCATAGGGCCAGAAAGTTTTGGGTAACCCTGATTGAAGAAGAAGACATCTTCCCATTTCGAACAATGTGCGCCAGTGCCTTTCGGCGGTGCCATTCTGGTGTGGCGAGTAGGGAGCAGAAGTTTCATGTTTTATGCCACGCTCCCTTAGTAGTGTTTGAAACGCCTTACCTGTAAATTCTGAGTCATTGTCAGAACGGATGCAACTTACCTTGCCATAAGGAGTGATGTCTGCTAGAAATTTCTCTGTTGCTACAAAGGTGTCACTTTTACATTTCAGAAAGTAAACAAATACTGCTCCTGAGAAATCATCAGTAAAAGCTATGCAGTACTTAACCCCCTCTCTTGATACAGGAGAAACTGGACCTGCCAAATCCACATGCACTTTCTCCAATGATTTTTGAGATCTTGCATCAGGAATCCTACTCCTGCTGTTTACAACTTTTCCTTCTACACATGTATTACAACCTAACTTAGATGACTCAATTTTACCTGAGAATTTCATGCCCTTAACTACCCCCTGTAGTTTTATAATATCTTCAAAATTGCAGTGCCCTAGGATTTCATGCCATGTGTTAATATCATACGAGAGATTTACTTTATTTACTTCACTTACGCTATCGTTCTCATGACTGTCTATGGAAGTCAAATAGTACAACCGTCCATGTTCTTCAATTTCAACAATGGTACCATCTTCAAGGGTTAGCGCACCAGTATCTTGGGCAAATCGAAGCTCGGCTCCATTTGATGTGGCTGCCTTCACTGAGAAAATATCTTGAGGATAGGATGGTATATATAAGGCGTTTTTCAGCACCGTTTTCACACATTTTCCATTTGTATCTTTCAGAAACACTTCAGCATCCCCTCGTTTCAATGCAATATTACTGGCTCGTGTGCCATCAGCCAGTTCGATGTAATGTTTTGATGGTTTAAATGTCATGTCTATTTGCTTTAAAATATCAGTAGTAACAATGTGAGAAGTGGCACCTGTGTCAACCAACATTCCCATTCGATTGATTTTCGCTGTTGCTTCGTTGTTAACTTTGAATGCAAATGAATGTTCATCCTTAGAAGTGTTTTCTTTCTCCGACACCTGTTTGGCTTGGTCTTTCCTCTTTTGCTGACTTCTGCAGGTGCTATCCGAGTGTGTTGTACTTTTGTGATAGTTACACCACTTCTTCTCGCTCTTAGCAGGGCACTCTCTGACTAAATGCCCTCTTTTTCCCGCAGCCATAACATGTCATTGTTTGCGAAGGAAACTCAGCTTTCATTACCTGATCAACTTTCGGTTTGGTGTTGAGCTTTTCCGTTTCTTCGAAGCTCCTCAACATGCTCTTAAACTTCGCGAACGTTATCTCACTTGCACTTTGGGTCACATGTATCGAGAACGGTTTATATGAATCAGGCAGCCCCTTTAAGATCATGGCAATTATTAGCCCATCGCTTAACGTTTCTTTGGCGTTCTTAAGCGCTGTTATTGCTTTCTCGGCTCTTATTAAGTAATCTGTGACTGTCTCGTGAAGTGCTTTTTCAAGTGACGTTAGCTCAGTGTAGAGTGTGGTGATTCTTGGTTTTCCTTGATTTGCATAATGGTCTCGGAGTATTTGTAAAGCCTTTCGGCCATCGTCGGTAGCGCAGGGCCGTAGGAAGCTCTTTTCGATTGGGGGGGCTGAAAGCGAGGGCCGAAGGCCCGAGGAAATTTTTAAATTTAGAGTCTCTAAAATGCCATTTCCTGGACTTTGGGGGAAGATTTAACAGAATTCTGATAGTCAGAAAACAGCGTTTTAGTAAGTCGAAATTTACAGGAAAGTATGGGCCAGACTGTAGTATTATAAATGCGCGGTGGGAATTTTCGTCGTAAATGGCAGTTGCGCGGAAATGAAGGCAGAACATTTGAGAAAATTTCGAAAATCTGGAGTCTCTAGATGGTCTGAAATGGCATTTTCAGAGTTTTCTTTCGCAAGACCCAACACGCAAAAGACAAAATAAATCATTAGTTCACCAAAAATGTGCAGATTTTGTGGGATTTTCTTGAAAATGCGCGACAGAAATTCAGCTAAAATTTCTACGCGAGGAACGATCTGGAGTATGAGTAATATCTTCATTCTTTGCAGTTTGTCACAGATTAAATGATAAAGTTTGCATGATTTTGAAAAAAAGAATGATTATTAGCAAATTATTGGGGGGGCTGCAGCCCCCCCCCCCCCCCCGGTTGCTACGGCCCAGATCCCTCATTACCAATGACAAACTGGTGTCATCCAAACACTGTAGAGGCACGGCGTAGCATTCTTCGTTCTTTGTTGCGTCAGCCTCTTCTTCAGACGGCAGGATAGTATCCTTTAGTTTTAATAACCTCATGTGCGCGAGGAATTTCGCTTCCCACAGTTCGTAATTGCTTTCGTTTCCATCGAAAGTCAACCTTGACCAGCGTGATTCTCTGCTGGGCCCATAACCTGTTGAAACCATGACTTTAGAACACCGTATTTGTAATGAAATCACTCTTTATTTTCACGTTTATTACAAATGTAGTTTTGTACAGTAAGTTACTTTCACGAGGAAGTTCAACTAACAACACAACAATCCCATCATGCATTTGTCTCTCAGTATTACGTCATACTAATATTTGGATAACATACAGTTTTATATTGAACTCAACACTATATCTACTTCACAAATTTAAAAACCACTTTACTGGTTACACAGTATCCGGAATGGAGTAATTAGTTTCAAACTTCTTCCTATAAAAGGCCTGTATTTAGTTTTTAAAAAGAGTGAAGAAAATAATACTTTTAAAGTCTCTATGCAAGCTATTCCATAACGAGGCTATTCTATTAAAATAGAAGTGTTTCATGTAGTCCTGTTCCAAAAATTTTTTCCCGACATATTCCTGTTGCAACATGGGTCAAACTCTTTTTTTGGGAGTTATATATGTAAAATTTTGGTTTAGATTTTTTTCTCGTACCATACCCCTCCCCCCCCCCCACTGCTAAGCCCCGGCCCCCAGTATTTCATATACAGCGTTGATATTACATAGTACAATATGTTAAACCTAGATCTACAATAATATACAATGCAATAAAGATATAAAGTACAAGAATTTCACTTGTTGGACGAGCCGCTATACTTTGCAATGGGCCAACACAATGGCTGGAATTAATTAAACCCAAGAAATACAGATAGTACAAAACTTCAATGGGGGTTTACAAGCGTTTCTCCTTTAATAGGTTCTTTGTACGTTTGCATAGGGATAAAACCTATAATAGTTTTGTTTGTGGAAACACACGTAATAAACTTACGTGGTGTTTCCACAAACAAAATTATTATACGTTTCTCCTTTGTTTTCGAGGATTTATGAAACACAATTAAGATGATTATTGCCATATTCCATACAGGTATTTCTTTCACGTAAGTCTCTGTCAGACTTTCTGAAGAAATATGAATTTTTTATGTGAATCTCCACCCTTCCTTGGATGATCTGATTGGAAAAAGCTCTCCATGGCCAATAACTTTTACAAGAATTGCTTGTGTGTAAACCACTGAGCTATACTATATTACTGGCGAACCTGCTCGAGATCAAAAAGTGTCGCCAAAAACATGGCGGATTTTACGCCATTTCCATGACAACACTTACTTTATTTTCATGGTAACTGCCACTGACCAACCGCGATCCTAAGCTTCCGACGATGTCCTTAACCCCCCTGGTTTTTGGGCAAAAAAAATTTGATTCGATAGAGATATAACGTTTTCTGTTGTTTTTGAGCTAAAAAACCTTAATATTTCCCTCGAACATTACTTGTTTTACAACGCGGAACGAGGGTACGGGTTTGCTTCGCTTGTGGATGCAGCATTTCACTACAAAGGTAAGATTCACGAAACTTTTTTATAACTTTCTAGACGGCTAGAGTGACTAGACCCTTCATATTATGTCAAAAACTCATCTTCCTAATATATACAGCAAATATTTCAATAGGGGACATAAAAGTATTGTTAACGATTAAACATTGTGTACATGAAATTATGTTGTTTTGTGTCAGCACTGACCTTTGTGGTTTTATTGCCAGTTTTTTATTTATACTAAAAATTGTGGTTGTTTACATGTTCCTCGACATGTTCATATATTTTAAAACGTTTATCAAATATGGTGTGAAATTTATATACTTGCTCATCACAGTGCAGAATTAGTATATATAGATAAGCACAAGACCAGAGAGAGTCGAGCCGTAGAGGAGGCCCACCTACATGTGACAATGCATGTGCCCTAGTATCCTGATGACTGATGAGGCCTAAAGACTGTCTTTATTATTTTACACTGTCTGTCTAATGCCAGACGATTTTATGGGAATTGAGACTGCTCCCTGCTGCCACACAGTGGTTTAGGCAGCGTTTACACTGTACCGTTTTCGTAGCGTTCTCGTATTGTTCGAGAGAACTAGACTATTGTCTTGCGTTCCCTTGAAGATTAAGAACAATACGAGAACGCTACGAAAACGGTACAGTGTAAACGCTGCCTTAATTACAGTATCTGTAAATGAGCAGCCCCTGAGATATCAGGGTGTATAAAAAAAAAGGTAATCGAATTTCAGCGCGCTATTGTATCCGAATTACTCTGCGTATGAACAATTGGTTTTCATATTTGGAAAGATCAGGCTTTTAGCTATTGAACGACATGCTTTTTATATGCCAAGTGGAGAAAAAAAAGCATGTACGAGGCCGATCAAAAATGTTAGTCAAAATCGCATATTTTCACCTCTGTGCCTAATTAAAATAATGCATAACAAAAGAAAAAGCAATTAATCACTAACGTGTCGTAGCTTAGCTAAGATTTATTCCTACTTAATAATAATTATGAATATGTGCGTAGTTTAATGAAGTGAAATTCATCAACTTAAGTGGTAGTCCCGCTAAGAGCGGTCCGATGACTTTGACTTCGGAAAATAGATTTCCTTTATTTTTTGTGTGTTGAAAGGCATTGGTATTGGTATACAAGTGTCCAAAATAAATTTACTTTTTGAAAATTCTTTTTTATGGCTTCGCTAGACGCCGAAACTCATTTTACCCGTGCAGAGCTAATTTCAAGCAAAATCGAAGGTTGAATTTCGGTAAATTGTAGAGCCGCGCTGTGTCAAATTAAACACCTGACTATTTCCAAATTTCAACTAGATCAACAAGTTAAGATACAATTCAGGTTCTCTGTTCCAAAAAATAAGAGCATTTGAATAAATTGTGAATAAACGACAGCGACTTGACGGCACACCGGTTTTTGCTTCATGTTCGGTCTACAAAATTACACTAAAATCGAAGCCTGAGATCTCCAAATGGGGACCTAAAATTACGCTGAAATGTGCTTGGCTGTAATGATTTATACTTATTTTCAGAAGATCTGAAGAAAAACCTGCGGGTATCAATCTCTATTTGGCGCGAGTTAAGATTTTCTGGAGCCCATAATCAATGATTTTTGCATAATTTATAGCTAATTAACATATTTCTTGAGAGGCGCTAAAAGTAAACAATTTCTTTCTGACTAACATATCTCAGATGAAAGAAACTACCACAGCTAGTAATACCCTTTTTGTAAATATAGTCGTAATGTTCTTTTTCTGACACGCTGAGAGAGCTTTGTTTTTGAATGCTATGCCACATTTATTCAGTCTGACCAGATTCATAAATGTCACGATCTTGTATATTTCAAAAATATCAGTACCACAAATCAGAATTCACAAAGACCGATTATTCTTTCCTTGATTCAGTTGATGGATTTAATTGATTGATTTATTAAAAAACTATAAGTATAATAGAACATTCCATGTGTTTCCATTGCCCCTATATAGGGCTAGAATTTTTATCAATATGTTCTATTTTTCTGTGGCGACGGCATAATGGCATATTAACAAAATACGACACAAAAATGTACATTCGAATTTATGACCGACATATCAGAATGTTATTTATGAAGTTTGAATTGAATTTACTTAACGCGAAATAAATACTAAAATAGGAATTTTCTATGCTGGGTTAGTAAAAGAAAAAGCATAATTTTAATTGTATGTAATTTCGATGAATACTATTAAAAAAATTACACGCATTGTTTATATAAATTAGCTAACATTTACACATTTATTACGATAGTATAGCGACGTTTGTTTTAGCCATGTAACAAAATAAACTATAAGCATTCTGATCAGTTATTTAACAAAAATATCAAACTTGTGTCTTGTGAATTTTAATTCACAAACT